CAGATCTGGTTGGGTCTAGGCGAGGGGGTTGGCGGGGGTACTTTTGTGAAAACATTTGTGTCTTGCTACTCACTCACCCCTACCTCAGCACTGCCAATAGCCGGTACAAGTATGCTTTAGTTCGGTTAGTAGTGACCCGTCCACACGCACTGAAGTTTTTGCCGAACATATTTTTGAATGTCTGTTGTTTATTAAAAGAAATTTACATACTATACCTACAAATAAAAATGTTAAAAAATATTTCACTAGAGACTGTAACTCACTTAGAATTTCCCAGTGTAACTTAAGTTAAAAATTGCTCTGAATTGTTTTGTTGAAATGGTAAAAAACTGTAAATTCTCTACCCTCTTATTATAGCCTAAATGTTTAGAATTTAACTGTTATAAGAGGAACGTTAAGCACCTTTTGATTAGTATTAGTCCATATGACATAAATGAGTTTTTCCTTAATGTTAATGACCGTAGCCTAAAGTATAACTAAAAATGTCTGTGATTATCTGTGGACTGTTTTATAGCCTAGTTATATTTATTATAACTAGTTTACACTGCTATGCATTGTAAAATGTTCTGACAATAAAGATTTGATTTGATTTGATTTGATTTAGGCTAGATAATTTGCCTCCAGGATTGATTTATTGACATAAAATGAGGTTACTAACCTGTCGTCAACCAGTCCTATATTGTCGTGGATGACTATAGTTTCGGGGATAAAACCCCATTTTCATCTTCTCTTTCCCCAATCAAATAGAACTAAACTAGCCTAACTCAACGTCTACCCTAGCACACTGTAAAAAAAAGGCAGACAGCCCTAACGGAAAATCAATGCCTAATGAAATCTGATAAAATATTTTACTCAATATTTGGCTGCACTTCACTTTAGGTCCTACACAAACAACCGAATGAAAATATTGATTTTTTGATATTAGGTCGATATAGGTTATGTTAACCTTACCTAACTAAACAAAAGATACACCGATATTGAATAATCGATATATCGATCAATGTTTTCATTCGAATGAGTGTAGGACCTAAAGTAAAGTGCAGCCCAATATTTATGTTATATTGAATTAAAATTCCATCCAAAATTATATCTAGCCTAGGTTCTCTGCGGAAATGTAGGCCTAACTTACCTGATGAAGAATTAAGTTATCTACCACATCACTTTCTACAGAAGTCCATTACTAACTTACTTGTAATACTTGTAGTTTCCGTCCGTAGTCCAGAGCAGGAATTGAACAGGTCAATAGGTTAAGGTTATAACCTCCTAAGTAGGCCTATAATACTACCTACCAATCTTTGAATTTGAATGAACCCTTTTCACATGTAGATAACCAATTAAGGGTACAGTTTTTTAACTGGGCTATGCTAATATTGATTGAATCTATCGAATTGAAAATATTGATTAATAATCGATATTTTTTAATATCTCTATTATAAAATTAAACTATTATAACCTAACCTAACCAACCAAACTTGCTGATGATGAAAAAGTCGCATGAAGGTTTACTAATCGAATCGATAGTTTCAATCGATATTAGCATAGCCCAGTTAAGAAACTGTACCCCAAATATGGATTGAGATTTATTACCTGGAGGTCGCTGAAGTCCTAGTAAAGCTAACGCATTGCTTTCAAAGTTGAAAATGCACTGTCGCATGTAATTTAAAGACCTAGCTAGCATTATGAATGTAATAATTTTTTATTGCGAATTAAGAGTGGAAACACATACAAGTTTAGGTCTAAAATAAACTAAACTAGAATAGAAACTACTTAACACTCAACCGGAACGCCTTTCCAATTCCCATTAAAATTTTGATTTTGAGGTTAACGTCAAATTTTGAGGAGGTACTCGGAAGCAGACCAGCAGACAACTCACCTTGCAGTTTTTGTTTTTTTCTACATACAACAATTGTGGTGGCCTTGATTAAAAGTCATGAGGCCCCACTGTTAACTTTTTGTGGTTATCCATAGTTTTTTTTGTTGTTTATTTGATATTTTTATTAGGATAATGATATTAACACATTTCATTTTGTTATTTACAGACATAAATGTAGACAGTGAACACTGATTTGTTCTGTAATATTTAGTTAGCTATAAAGAAAAGGATCTCTAAAAGGAAATTTGAGGTAGATGGGTATCTGGGAGGGATGGAAGAGGTTTAGTCTTCCTTGCCTGGGCCGATCAGGTGGACTAACCCGAAAAGGTGGACCTCGGATGAATAATCCCAGGATTGAACAAACATTAATGTTAAATTTGAGTGACTGTAATGTGTTTGTTTTTAGATCTTCCGACCGATGGAATGAAGGAATTAAATTTGTTATGTTCGAGATTTAAATGTCTTGATCATTTTTGCTGACAACTTCACAATTCCCAGTGGGCAGGAAGGGCAGGTCATTCTTTTCTTTGCCACAGTAGTGGGGCCTGAACCATCGCTCATTTTGGTCTAGAATAGTAGTTGCAGGAAGCCTTGATATCTAATTGCTGTTGTGCTATTTAATTTCGATCCATAGAATAATAAGAAATGTAAAATAAAACTATGTAAACAAATATTTAAAAAAGGAATATATGTCAAAATGGTGTTAATTAAAGCAGAGTGATATGATATTGTACGTGTGGATTGTGTTTCAATTCACTGTATATTTGATGCTGGTAGTATGGAAAATATTATGCACCATCCGTGTTTAGGAAGGTGTTGCCTGTACTCGCATAAAATGGGGAGCGAGCTGGCGTAGTGGTTTGTTGGAATTTTCGCCCTAGTTTTTGAATTAATGGTTTTAGCGAATTTCCCATATAGGGAATAAGCTATTATACTGTATGTGTCATGGTAAGACCTAGAATCGGGGCCGATTTACTTTTTCGTTTTGAGGTCCCCAGAGAGGAAAAAACACCACCCGTTCAAATTAATATAATATACATATGTCCGTTAGCGTGATAACTCGAGCAAAAATTATCCAATTTTGACGAATTTGTACTAACGTGTAAGCCTACGTTTATTCGAGCGAGTTCGCGAACCAGCATAATCGGACCATGGGAACAGGGGTTTATAGGGTGTTTTATATATGGGGTAAAAATGGGGTTTTCTCATTTTTGACCCTAAAAACAAAAGATTTAGCAATTTCTTTTTAAACCATTTTGTATAGCTTAAAAAAAGAAATAATTTTTTTCTTGTGTCTACGCCCAACTTAGTATATTGAAGCGCTGTTGTATACCTAACGGTCACGGAGTAAATTAAAAATATGTGTAATATGAAATTTCACTGTTGTAGTTTACTTGTTTATGGATATATGTTGATAAAATTTGGCAAATTTATTTATGAGGAGTTTAAACATTCACAAAACCACACAGTCCTAGGATTTTCAACATCCAGCACTTCAATGTTAAAATCACCTCCCACAATGAGCCTAATGAGGTTATACTTTACTTCTAAAGTCTGCAATAAAGGCTAAAGTTGGCCTTGAGACTGAGATCAGTCTTACCACTTTTTGCAAGGCTTTTGTTGTGGGATTTAGTTACATAGTATCCACTGTCTTAGATTTTACTAGGCCTAGGCTAGACGCCGAATTAATGCACGACTTCGGTTACATCAGATCCAGAAATCTGATTTGAATCGGAATCAGAAGCCAGCCTCTATGAGTCCATTAACCATCGAGCTTATTAAGCTTCGAGTCATCGTCAACAACTCCCTTGACAAGAGAGGCCTAGTTTTCCACGATGGAGTTTTAATTCAGAAACTCGTCGATGTTACAAACGTTTCTGTAGTCGTTTTATAGGTTAGATTTGCATGACTCACAAAACCACTTGCAGCGATCTTCCAACTGACACAATAGGTCATAATCATTTTTATTTACAATAACACTGGCGATATGATTCCATTTTCGGCAAAATCCGCCACAAAAAATACCATTACCATTACCTTTTACGAGTTTAAAGCAAGAGCCACAATTTGGATACGAATCAAAGAGTTTTCCCATACACACCAGGCCAAGTCATTAGCAAAATTAAAGCTCTTTACGGATAAATCATTAATATTACAAGGTTACAAGGTCATTATAAAGTTTAAACAGAGTAGGTCTCAAGAGCACAGAGCTTTTTGGGGCACTCGGTGAGGCACTCGAACCTCGAACCGGACTAGAAAACGTGCCGTTTAGATAGACTTTTTTCCATCTGTCACTAAGATAAGATTGAAAAAACTTATACACAGCATCAAGGTTATAGCAAGAAGGCTTATCCACAAGGAGATCATGAGCCACCGTATCAAGGGCCTTAGGCGTCTCGTAACACTATAAAACACACATAACAGAAATAGAAATAATGAGTAAACATTTACATAAAAAAAACTGGCCAGTGCTTTCACGCGCAACACGGACGCCGATATCAAATGGCTTTCAAAGTTAAGAGGCTAAAGCACTGGCCAGTTTTTTTTTATTTAAATATTTACTCATTATTTCTATTTCTGTTATGTGTTTGTATAATGTGTTTGTCCAATGACTTCGTCAGGTCTGAAAATCTGACTAATGATTAGATTTTGCTGTCACATTTAAAGATGGACTCTATTTGCCCAATACTATAGTAGTGTACCCATATAAACGTAATATAAATTTATATTATAGTAATATAGTATTTATATTACTTCTCTGGTGTCTACCTAGGATAATTAATTTGATGGGGCAAGGTGTTATTTATAATTATAAAAATATAATGTGTAAGTTTTTGTTTGGATTTGTTACATAAGTAAATACGTATTCCCATTAAACAAAACCGCTGATACTGTTAGAGTAGACATTTCTTTTTTAGATTACATAAATATGCAATCCTTTAACGAACCTAAATGGACATAGAAGTATGTTTTGTCAGCTGGTAGTTTGTATAATATAAGTCGTTCTCCTGTAGTTGAGCTTCATGATAAAGAGTATTGCCCAACTACTGTAGTCAGCTGGAAGGCGTTGCTGCAGCAGCCGACTCGACTGGGAACAAAATGATAGCTGATCGGAGGTTCATAACAGTTTGTACTATGGCGTGTTTAGGGTCGGGAAGGCTCTGTGCTCGTAGTGTTGAGAAATTGTGTCAGCTCGGACAAAAAACCCAAATAAGAAGAAAACCTTCAGCTGCATTTGTAAGGATCAAAGAAGTTGGCATTCAACCTTTATCTCGGACCCTAGTGCAGCATTGCAAGGTTAGTAAAACTTAAGATTTTTGGCGGTTTATGCTCTAATGTTTCAGTTTTTTAACCATAACTTGTAATATTACGTCCATAAAGTATTTTCAGCAATTACTTTCAACTTACCAGGCCTATAAGTATTTTTATGTTTGTAATTAATTTCTTACAGATAACAGCTGCTTTGTGCTATTCAAACATCAATCGTAAACTGCACCTCTATTAATCCTTACAATGATTTTTTATAAGAAAATACTAGTTATAATATTATTTAATTGTTTCACAATTTTGGTTAAATTAATCTTTCAATAATAAGTTACTTATTATTCATTATTAACTAGTTTCGCCAATATTGTTTTGACAAAAGTTTACAGATATTTGTATTTCTTGTATACTTTTTTGCTCATTAACTGTCGGGAGGATTACAGCTGCAAACCTCTATTTTATCATGCTTATTTTTGCATGTCTTTAAAGCCATATCAATATTATCAATCACCAATCGATACATGCAAACATTATTCCGAACGAAGTTCTATAACCTAGTTTGTTATGTTGTTAGCAGACGGTTTCGCTAGCAGAAAGTTGACTACTTGGGTCAGCTTAGCAACTTAAATGTTTTGTTTCGGCAAGTCACACAACAATCGTTAGTGTCGTTTTTATATCACGTTGTTATATTTGTAAATTATTTTCTTAATTTTGTACATCATACCCTGAACCCTTACCTTTAATCATAAAACTCAATGGGAACATTAATAATACAATACAATTCTTTTGACACAAATTACTAAGTTACTTTTATTTTCAAGGTTTTTTAACATTGTTAACTCAAAGACATATAAAATACAAACAGTTTAACCAGGGTTTAACCATTGGTTTAACAGTCAAAGACTACTCAAACAAAATGTGATTGTTTGTCATGTCATTTAGTAGGCGATGATTGTAGCTGGGAGCTGATAGATAGTTTTAGATTTCTTTGGCGAAAATTTTGAAGAAACTGCGAAAAAGTGAACGTGAACAATAAGTAAAAACGGATGCAGACGACATCCGCGAAGTTTAATTTAGGTTAGGTCTAGGTCGAAGTATTAAGAAGTGTTCTGATTTTCAATACCGTAAATCTAATCTAATACAGGACGAGGACACTGGACATCGGATTGAGGTCCAATAAATTTCGTGGATGTTTTCATGTTTCGTGTAAGCCGTAAGCTTTATAGGCCTATTTCTTTATAAGAATTTAAAGGTGTTTTTGGAAAAAGATACTCTGTCAGCGATAGTCAACTTAGGACAAATGTATGTTGGCCTAGACCTAGAAAGAAACAAACATTCTACTTAGACCTGTAGACGTGATTATACGTGACCTGTTCACTTGACTTAGACTAAACTTATAAACAAGTTTTTGGCCCTTCAGTTTATACCGGTAAACTAACACATTACCCTATCTATAAGAATGCGATTAAAAAATGTATTGACAACCAAGCAAATACATTGTTTACAATAGGTCTCCTCAAATTAGTCTACAAAATTTAAGTAAAATCAGAGCAATAGTCATCAAGTTTGTCAGGCATTGAAGCTAAATACGATTTTTTTTATAAAAGCTATAACCATTGACATTGACTATAAACAGAATAGACTTCCCAATGTAGGCCTAATGTAAAAATTTGAAGCCAAAAAACGTGGCACAGTCTGTTGAGATTGTCACCAACTAATGACACTATTCTATGTTAAGTGATAAATCAATCAGCTGTTTGCTATGCTACTGCACTGTTTTCATTAATATTCAACCCAATACACTAGTAAACCCTAGTGAGATGGTCCTGAACATCTATTTTCTTGGTTTCAAACTTTCATATCACATGGGGAGTCTATTCTGTGTATAGTCTAGTCAATGATATAACTTATATGACAGCATGATTAAATTACTATTTTATATTATTTACAAAATTCATCAACATGGAACATTGGGTTTTTTAGGAGCCATTTAAAGTTATAGTGTTTCAAAGAATACCTTACCACCATAGGAATAGTTTCTACATAATTTGGTAGTTTATTAGGCCTAAAGTTTTTAAGCCCAGAGTGTGATTATACCTTCGTGTTTACATCTAGCTATGTCGATTTAATTCTTAAACCTAAGTTAGTAATTAAAGTGATCATGGACATCAGTCCTAGACACAGTGTATACACAGACAGTCCTTACAAGTACTATGGGCTAGTAACTAGGCTATAACTTAAAATACACTCCGTCTCTTTTTTTTGTTTTTTCTTGTTTTTTATTTACAATTTTTAGAACAAATCAAATTAAGTCAAATTAAATCAAATTAAATCAAACAAGTGCATAGAGAAGTGCACAATATAAATTTGTATTCAAAACAAGAAAAAATGTATCAATACGGTAGCCCTAGTACCGTATCGTAAAGAGGTAATTGGGTTTACAACAATGTATTTGTGTGAAAAGACATCCATATCCATCACTTGGTGTATTTTAAGAAGCGTATGGTAAATGTCCAGCGTCCTACTGTAGCCTCTTTTAAAATTGAGCCTGAATTTGATTTCTCAACAGTTTGAAATACCTGTATTGGTGTTTTGGACTAAATATTGTAGCTATTTTCATTTCACCTACCTTAATAATTTGTAGGCTATTTAGTTGTGTGTTACTTAGTATATCCTTTAAACAATCTATTAATTAATAATAAATATGATAAAATAATTTAAATAAATTTAATCGAAAATGTGGGTTTTGAAAGATTACCCAATGTAGGTGTGTTGTCAGACAGAAGGGTTTGGAAACCGTTGGGTTTGCCCAATTTTATTTTTGCCCCTCAAAACACAAAATTTTGCAATTTCTTTCAAAACGGTTTAGTATGATGAAGTACAGTACTGTTGTAGGCTTAAGGGTGATGGAGTAAATTTCAAAGCAAATTATTAACTTAAAATCTTCATGTTATTGTTTTGGAGAGTAAGTAAACTGTCATAGTTTGCTTGCTTATTTAAACAAAATAATTATGTAAATAAAACCACTGCCACAGTAATTCTACAGGATAAGTAAGTTTTCTCTGGCCCGATTGAATTTTCACTAATATATTTCATTATACATGTCAGATTTATTCTGTATTTAACATTTAAAGGTTTTTAGTACTTAGGTTTGCTGGCTACAGGGAAAATAATGTGTTTTGTAGTGAAATGTTGATAGCTAAGTATGAAATAAATAAATCTGCCATGGATATAGATGAATCAAATAACTACGCCTGAATTAAATAGGCATGCCTAGGCTGCAGCTTTGCCTCAGTGGGGGTATTTATTACAGTATTACAATACTGTCACGATTTTGTTCTCACTGATGAAATACCATACCATATATTTATGGTACTTGCATTCGAGTCCTGACTATCACTATGGATTCTGGCTAGCCCATTTAATAAAGCTGTAACCTGTTGGGTGGAACTTTAAGCTCATCTATCTCTCAAGCAGAGAGGCTTGGGTCTTCTGAACAAGAACTCTTTCCACTAAAAGCTATGTTATAATTTTTTGTAGCGTGTACTGTCTAAAACCCATTTCAGTAATTTTGTACAATTTAAGTGATGTGAGAACTTGGCGTTGCGTGTTTGTGCAGCAAGTATGTTACCAATACTGCCAACACAGTATTTGTAGATTTACTCAATATGCTGTTATTTTGTTAAGAACCCTTTAAATCCTTTATTTAAAGTGGCAAAATCAGATAAAATATTGTTTAGTATTTTTAACGAATGAGCTTTAAAAAGTGTATGTAATGTGCTACTTTATCTGTAGGAGCCCCTATCTATCTTCTCCTAGACCCTGCCTTTAGTTTAGAAGACTTTGGCAACTTAACTAGGAAGACTTGAATTCACTGAATAATCGACCCCCCACAAATTGATCTTAGAGGTTATCGATTTGTTTAAAATACATTACAACTTCTCTGACTTCCAAACACCTGGGAGGATTTCCACGGTAGAATCCGGAATCAGTCTGATGCTGCAATGGGGTCAATACGATCCTGTGACATATTATGGTCAATTCAGGATGGTTGCTTCACCTAAAAGGTCAGTTGGAGAAACTTGTCCCAAACGTAGGACAGTCGCAGACTCTGTCAGTGTGTCTACTCAGAGGTGGTATTGGCTGGAATGTCTACTGCTTCCCTTCTCAGGTGTTATCGCTCGATGCCAACTGCCCAGTCCTATATGCCTATAACTGATTTTACACTCTTTTCATTCATTCACGTTCTTGACGTAAACGACATAATGGTAACTTACTTTTATATTCCTGTGTCTACAGGTCCTGAGATATCTTTGATTGGGCCAGGACGTTAATTTGGACATGGGAATTGTATTTTCTTACAACAATAATACGCTTTAGTTCAATTATTGCGGAGCAATTAGTAAAGGATTCTAATGGCGAGAAGGGAACGAGAATAATTAACAATTTCTGAGGAGCACATTTTTACAAAGGAATAATGTTAAAGTGGCCTCTGAGATTTCATTTAATTGAAAATTGTTCACTAGGGAATTCTTAAAGAACATGGAATTATAAGGTAATCTGATAAGTAAATTAGAAGTAGTGATAGTAAACAAGTTTCATCCTCAGACTAGTGAGCAACACTTACACACTAGTTTTAACCCTTAAGGAATAAAAAAAATGATACCAAAAGTGAAGATGGATGAAATAATTTTCTCAAGTAAACCTCCCTATGTACTATGTACTAAGTTAATATTTTTGCGTATACGCAATCGCAAAACTGGTTAATTCAGTAATTGAGAGTATTGCAAGAGCCAAATCAAAGTGTCAAAGGTGTGTGTCTTCTTGATTTGATAATTAGGAAAACATTTTTCAATGATATATTTTTGGAATGGTTCCCCTAGATGCCGCCAAGTTTGCTGTGTGATGTACTAGTAGAAATAACTCTATGGTTCGGAACTCATAGGTCCTCCTAATATCAATCAGACAAAAATATTGCTCTCTTAAACGAGGAACCAGACTATTAGAGCGGAGGCTGGTCTATACCCCCCCTC